GAGCCTGCGGAGCCTGCGGAGCCTGCAGAGCCTGCGGCCGAGGAGCGGACGGCGGGCCAAAGCTGTGCTGAATCCCTGGGCTCGTTCCCGCCTCACTCAGAGCACTCAGAGGGCCAGGGCCAGGAAGGCGAAGGCGAAGGCGAGGAAGGAGGAGGCGGGGCTCAGACGCCTCTCGACAAGCCCCAGCAGTTCGTGGAGGCTCCGACAAGCCGCCAAGGCTTCAAAAGCTTCTGAGCTGATGGTCCTGCACAGGTCTACCAACCGACGGATTCGGCCTTGCAGTGCGCAGAGCCAGGCAGCGGCAGAGTTGGTCCACACGCAAGCAGGCGCCTTTCGTTCTTGCTCCAGGATCAGCTGCATCGGCCCAACAGCCACCACTAGAAGCAGACAGCAGGCACGGGCGGAGTTATGCGGAACTCCGGTCACACACACACACACACACTCTCTGTCTCTCACTCAAGGCTGGAGACTTCCGCAGACCTCACCGGTGAGCAACCTCCACTGCCGAGAGAGGCCTTTCCTGGCAGATTGGGAAGAAGCGTCGTGAGATCAACAATCCAAGGCAGTTAGAAGTTAGAGTTAGAATCCTCCGGCAGGCAACGTGCACACCATGCAGAGAAGTGGCAGCGACGGCCACGGCAAGAGGGCTTGACGCTACTCGCAGCTGTCCTTCTGAGTCTAAGGAGCTGCCCAAGCTCCCCCACCGGCCAAAACCCGAAACTCCTAAACCCTAAACTCTTAACCTCCTACAGTAAACCCTAAACCCTAAACTCCTACACCCTAGGCCACAAACCCTAAACTCCGAAACCCAAAAGGAGCTTTCCTCTTTGCTGCTGATGCCCGCGAAAGCCGCGGTCCTGGCGTCCCTGGCCAGCGGCCTCGACGTGGCCTCGCGCCGGCACCTCGAGGCTTCCCTGGACCGCTTGCAGGACCGCCGAGTCGTCTCAGAATGATTCAGAATGTCGGATGCAATATAGTAATATAGCATATGATATTATGATAGAGTCTAGCCGGTATAAACGAATAAACAAGTAAATAAATCGATAAATAAATAAATCGGAGATGCTCTCTGCTGCGCTCTGGGGGCCCAGGAACTCTCGATCGCCATGGGAGGACTGGCTGACGGCGAGAGTTCAAAACGGTCCAGCACGCTTGGCCCGCCCTCGAAATCCCGGGTAATTGGTCAGCTCCGCTCTGAAGGGCATCGCCTCAGCTGTGGCTCGAACAAGCTCTGGGGAAGGGGGTGAGGGCATCTTTGGTTTAGGTCAGTTGTGCCGGCAAGCTATCTGCCGTTGCAAAGCCGCTCGGCACTGTTGGCCAGTTTTGGCACAAGCAACTCCGCTCCTCGAGCTCTATGCCTTCAGGCTGGTCGACATGTACTACGACTTCGATTGGAAAGATGCACCGCTGTCCTCCCATAGCACTCCAGTCATCGCCGGCCGCCTGCTTAGTGCTGTCGTGTTGTAGGCCGATCTTCAGGAACCGAGGCCATGAAAAGACTATCACCTGGCGCATCACACGCCTTACGTTTTGTGCCTGCATAATGATCTCCCACGGAGGTTGCCTCTATTTGCTGATGGTCCTACTGTTGCCTCGATGCGTCGGAGACTCGGATGCTTCATGATGCTTCGGAGGTGCTTCGGGGGGAAGAGCCCCTTCCTCCCTTGGAGGTGCCGGAAGGCGGCTTCAAGCTGGACAAGACCCTGGTGGTGCACAACTTCATCCTCAGCCGAGACCCCAGAGCTAAGCCAAAGCGTTCTGAATTTCAGCCTTCCTCGCCTTCTTCTTCGACTCTGAGGCTTCATGTCCTTGGTCCTTTGCCTTGGATGTGCTTTCGAGATGGTGCAGAGGGTGAGGGGCGAGAGCAGCGTGGCATGGATGCCTCGTCCTCGTGAAACGACGGTTAAATCAAGCTTCGGCCCGAGACGCCGGGCATGACTTCGGAGGTTCTGTGAAAATAGATCGATGTCTGCGCGAGGCCGGGCCCCTGCCACGCCTAAGAGAGATTGTGTCCTCGGTCTGTGAGAGGCCCGCTTTATTTCTGGTCCTGGGCCTTTTATGCCATGCACTCGGGCCTCGGGTCCTAACTTCAAGTGACTCCAAAGTTTGCGAGCATGGAGCGGACAGTCTATGGGGTTATGGTCCTGGGCTTCGTCGTGCTTGGCTTGCTCGCATGTCTTAGACCTTGATTGGTTCAAAAGTATCTCGTGCGGATGGAACGATCGTTCAATAAGGCCAGCAAGTACTATGAGCTTGTGGATACACTGCTGGCTTTGCTGCGGGCCTCCAGGCGAAGCTTGGTTAGACATAGATCCGAGTCAGAGTCCTCGCGCTCTTCCACAGGCCGCCGCACTTCGGCTTGCACGTGTACCACCATGCCCTCGTTCCGGCAGGGCCTCGAGTCTTCTGCAGCTGTTTGAGCCAACTTTTTCTTCCCGATTGTGGTAGAGGTCATGGTCTGGCACTGGCTCGAGTATTGCACTACACTCCAGCACATAGGCACGAGCTTTCCACATAGGTTGACATTCAGTGCAAGCGGCACGCAGCGTGGCAAGGACTGCTCTGGAACACCTTCGTGCATGTAGTTATGTATGCCTACTACGCTCTGAAGGCGCGGAGTGCTAGAGCGGGGGAGAAGTGAGGCAAATGGCAGAGGCTTGAAGTACATAAGCATCGATATTAACAATCTTCCCACGACGAGGCGTGCAGAGCCCCTGCATTTCCTAGTTTGCCGCATTGAGTGGCATTGCTCATATTCAGGTTCTCAAGGTGCCGACGTCAGATCCTGATCGCATGGTTTTTCGACATGGACCGCTCACTCGGAATGCAGTGATGAGGCCCTGGAAGAGTTGGGTAACGCGCTTGCAGATCATTCAGTTCGTGAGCAGCATGGCTGCCTTCGTGCCGGCCATGTACTACATGTGGGAGCGCAGCGCCCGCTTGCCGACGTGGTCGGCTTGAGATCAAAAAGCATCTTGCAGGAGTCGCCACTTGGAGATGCCTGTGCTGGGCAGAGGTCATTTCTGGCCGCAGCCACAGGAGTTTTGGAGCGGAGGTCTCAAGGGAGCCAGAGCCGGCTGCAGGTGAACCTGGCTTTTAACCTCACGCTGCTGTGGCAGTTTGTCGGAGTGCTTTATACCCCTGCCGGGAGCCAAAGTTTCGCAAGTCGCTGGCAACATCGCGCAGAAAGCCTTGGGCCCAGGCAGCTGGAGCAAAAAAGGGGGGCCACAAGAAGGAATGCTAAAGTTGATCTTCCATCCTTTTCCAGTGACCCTGAAGGCCACACCGTAAAGGCTGTGAAGCTGCGTGGATGCCTAAAGAGGCTCCAGTTGGCCAAGCCTCGTGGTCACCTGTCAATGCTGCCGTAACCGGTTTGCTGGCGCAGCTGGCACCAGCATCTTCAGCGCCTGGTAGTCGTGTCACCCTGCCACCGTGCAACTAGACCGCTTCGGGAGATTGTACCAAAACTCATGCTGCCCGTACCACGGCAGCAGGTCCCATGTATTCCAATGTACAACATCGGGAGTGTGCAGTTGTCAATACTGGCCAGCAGAGATGGTTCAAATCCTGGGTCTTTATGAAGTGATGATTGGCTATCAGGGCGATCTGGACAGTCTGCACGTGTCTGTGTTCAAGAAAGCGTGATTTTTTGCATGTTACTTACTCTCCCAGCGTTGCATCGGGGGTCAACTTCCGACTCATGGCTTCGCGGCTTGCGGCCTGTGCCGGGCACTCGGATGCCCTGCAAGCTCCACAGAGCTTTCCCTCTTTTTCAAGCGTGGACTCTGGAAGGTAAGGCCGAGGCCCAGGCCAGCGAGCCGCCTTCTGTTCCTAGCCCAGAGCTGCCAAGAGGTCTTAGGGGTGGGGGGGATGTTTCATGTTTAGGCTGCAGGGTTCGAAACCGAAGCCTCAAGCGACAGACCGAGGACCCGAGTCGGCCATGGGCAGTGTCGGCAAGGCGCCTCTCTCTCTGTGCTGCAAGTTGATGCTACCGTCGTGGGAATGGGTGCCCTGCCCTGCGAGTTGCTTGGCCCTACATGGTGGGTAACTCAGTCACCTAGAAGGGCAGCAAAGCATGGGGCCAGCGATGATGTGTGCCTCTTCCGCTCCGACATGAGGTCCAGATGCGCGGTGCTCTGAGCAGTTCTGCAGACAGCGAGGTGACAACAGATGCAACCTTCAGGCCTCAAATTCTGCTTGCAGCGCCATAAAGAGCTCTTCGGCCAATTGGTCAGGTACAGCAGCTTTAGCTGGCGAACTTCTGCCGGCGAAAGGCTGACATGCACGCATGAGAATTTCCCTTGAACTTCGTCGTGTTGCAGGTATCCGTACGAATACATTGTTGCTCAGCAACCTGCCCGGTGCCAAATCTGGAAGGAAGCACGGCCTGAGAAGTTCGAAAGATCAGAATAGGCTGGTGGCGGGACTGCTCGCAATGCTCTTGTCGCTTTGGAAGAGAGCTTGCGCGAGACCTAGATTGGTTGGACGGGGCGATGGGGCCCACGTCTGCGCGAGTTTAGGAAGCCAACGCCCTAAGCGTGCGCCTGAGGCCGGGGCCTGCCAGCGGCTGGACCGTGGTTCTCATGCCCTCGGCTGCCGGCTCAGGGCGCTTTCGCGCTCTCAACTCGGATGGTAATTCGGCTCCCAGGTTTCGCTGGTTTGCAGCGGCAAAGAAGAGATGAGACCCCTGGCCACGCTGCTCTCGCAGCGCGGGCCGGGAGCTGGCTGCGAGATCCTTCCGCAAGGGCCGCGACTGTCGGAGCTCTGAGGCATCGCTGCTACATCCTGGAGTGGTCTCGAGCTTGGGGTCTGGTGATAAAAGTGGGTGAAGTGCGTGGAACTATGCATGAGGCCTGGATGGACGCAGCACGTGCAGACCAACTGGGCGCACCAGCCCCAGCGTCATTGCATGCTGTGCCGCTGCGCCTCTTGCAGCTTCGCCCCAGTACGTGACGTGCAGGATGGAGCGATGCAAGACGGAGCACCTTGCTGAGGAATACCAGGAGAGAATGGGCGATTGTCACTCTCATGTCCATGTGTATCCATCCGGCTTTCCAGGACTTCTGGTGTCAGGCCTTGGAACACGTCGCTCAGCGAGAGCATGCTGAAGCCCATGGCCATGCGGACGAAGTGCAAGAAGCGAAAGCTCGTAAGTTGGAGCCTCGGCCTCTCGGTTGCAGGTTCCGTGTGCGTAGCTGCGTCTTCCGCTGCCGAGGCTTTGCATCGTCGCAGCTGGGAGCGCTTCTGTCTATGCGCTCCGGGCTGTGAAGGAACACTCCGAGCTGTTCCCCAAAGGATGCGCCTGAACACGACTCGGCCGCAGGCGCTACAGGACTGGCTCCCGGAGGAGACGTCCCAGGCCCAGCTCTGTGGCCATTGTGGCCTTATCTGTGGCGCCTTATGAGATTGGAAGGCGCCGGAGCTACGATACGACTCCTTGGTGATGCTTGCTCCAAGCTTGGCACCTAGTCGCCTGGCACCGCCGTCTTCCCTTTCAGACTTCAGCCCGAGCGAGATTGCTTTTGCGGAAAAAGCAAGTCTAAGGCTGGAGGGCAGAGCGGCGACAAGGCTTGCTTTCCAGGCTGCCGCCGGATCGTGCCGCCTACTGGATGGGCGCCCCGGCCTTGTTGCCCGTTGGCGTGCATGGAAGCAAGGTTTCTGACTGCTAATTACCTGCTTTGCAGCATGAGCCTCGAACTGTTAGACTCCTAGGAAGGCAGGGCCCGAAGCCATGGCCAACATGAATGAAGGGAAGCGGTAGGTGCATGGCGAGCAGTGGCTTGGCAAGGGCTCAGACATGTTTGGGTCACACGTGACAAGACAAATTAATCGGCTTTTCCTCTGTCGCGTTGGTGCTTGCCCTGTCGCAAGGCCAGGCGCCGCAAATACCGCGAGTGCCCACGCACCTGGCTTATGGCGGCGAAGCTCCATCAAGGAATCTTGACTGCAAGTTCGGCTTTCAGAAGTCAGGCCCTAGCTGTCGGTGCCCATCTGGTAATAGTCTCCCGAGTTGAGGACATCTCCGAACCGGGAGGTGGAGAAGCTGAAACTCGAGATCCAAGAATTGCTGGGTTTGCTGCGCAAGGCTCTCCACTTGGTGTGTGAAGAGCTGCGGCGGACGCACAAGTGCAACAAGCATCTGGAAGAGCGCCAAAGTGACCTGGCCGCTGAACTGGACGAACTGAAGCCCAGGTCGGTGCAGCTGACACGCTTGGGGGGGGCCGTGAAAGTGAATAATCGTCCGGAGCGCATCGAGCTCACGAACCACCCCGCCCAGCCTTTGCAAGCCTCGCACCTGGGAGCCGTGATCCCAGCCCGTCACCTTGCAGCGGCGCCGGCTGCAGCACCAGCCGCCGTGGCACCGGCGGCTTCCTCGGCCCGATCGTCCGTGGCCGCGTCCCCAGCTTCCACCTCGGCTCCCGATGGCCCGCGCCGTCAGTCAGACGAAAGCAAACGGAAGAACCGGGCATCCAGTGATCGGAGCTCGATGGCAAGCGGCAGACGCGTGACGCTGAAGCTGTCCAGAAGTATCCTGAAGAAGCTTTCGGCGAATGCAGGGCTCTCGCAGAAGGAGGAGCAGGGCAGCGACAGTGGCTCCGAAATCTTCGAGGCCAACAATCCCGAAGAAGTCCAGGAGATGCAGAGGATTCTCGAGCAACTTAGCTGGAAGTACGAATACATGCAAGAAGGGGGGAACGAAGTGGGTCAAGAAGACGGTGCCGATCTCAAGCCTGCTCGCGAAGAGGACTGCACGTCGACTGCATGTCGCCACAGTGCAAGCCATTGCACTTTGTGCCTCTGTGCGAGTGTGCGTTGGGGTGATCTGGTGAATTGTAGTCTATAGTCTGTCCATCACGATGCCAGCCACATGATGAAGGAGCCTGAAACCTCTCCGTCGGTGCGTGCCTCACTCTCTCGGCGACTGACGCCCGGGATGTTGGAGGATGAAACGGGCTCCCTCCCACCTCGTCGCTTGACTTTGTTCCAGGCCAAGTGATCTGTGTCAAAAGCCAGCAGATGTCACACTTTAGCCCGGAGCACAAGAGTTCTCGCGAACGACCGTTAATGACTTCCGCAGAGCCACCGTGGCTCTGAGCATCGAGCAGAAAAAGGAGCCTTAGGGCAGGCTGAAGCTCATTGCCTCATTGCTTGCTGTGCTGGCTGAGCAGCGATTCATCCCCCGTGCCTAGGGCTTAGAGCCGCCCTTGACAGTTGCACTTGGGTTTTGCCAGAAAGGCTCTGCTTCACACCGACTCCCGGGTGGGCCGCATCTTTCGACGGTCGTACTTTGGGTTCTGAGCCTCAGGGCTTCAGGGAGACGCCCCGGGCATCCCCCGGGGCCCTGGCCAAGGAAGAAGAATCTTCAGCGCCATTTCCTTCATGCGGGCGCACCGGATGGAAACGAGGCTCAACCCTCTCTGAGCGGGCCTTCCGGAAAGTCCGTGTCTCTGAGTCGGAGGAACGGCTGTTGCAGCTGGCCTCCTGGTTCTTTCAGAGGCATGTGGGAAGCTTGGAGCTTCCTCTGGGCTGGATGTATTTTTTGTGGCCAGGCCGCGACCCTATGCGCAAACTGATGCGGCCATTGCATATGGATTCTTGGACCCTCCGGTCGACTCCGCCTGCGCCCCTAAGTCTGAACGGCCCACCTTTCGCCTCACAGCTCTATCAACGTGGTCGCTGCGCAGGTCGATGGTCTCGCCGCCGAACTCATCACGCAGCCTTTCAGGTCCGAGGGGGGACCTTTGGCAGTGCAGGGAGGAGTCGGAGAGAACGGTTGTAAGTAGTCCGCCTTTCTTCGCCTTGCTGATGTGCAGTCACTTTGCTGCCAAATCTCGCTGGAGCCAGGCATCGTGTTTTGCTCCTCAGCCCAGAGTCCCAAAGTGGCACTCAATCGCTGTGGACAGCAGTGGAGGCTCGCGGGAAGTCGGACTCTCGGACATGTCAAAAACGAGCCAGATGAAGGCGGCCGGCACTCAGTCCTCTGTGGAGCATCGTCGACTCCTCGAAGCGGAAGCGAGCAGCCGCTGCAGCTGGGAGCGGCTCTGTGTCGAGGTTTCATTCCCTCCAAGTCGCTGCTGCCGCATGAAGTGGCCACTTCCGCAGTGCAATTCGTGATGGCACTCAGCCAAAGACTCTCGTCCAGTCGCGGCTGTAGGAGTGTTCTGGAAACACGGGCGCACTTGCGACCTAGGCTGTGGACCAGTGGCTGCGGGAAAACACCGATGCAGACACTGAGACCCCGTCGCCATGAAACAGTCACAAAACAACGTGAATGCGGCCAAGGGAATGTATGTTTGTATGTTCACGATCATCACGAGGGTGCATGTTCCTTCGCCAGCCCTTCGCCTGCCAGAAGTGCCAAGTCGGATCAAGGCTTTTGCAGAGTCTCTCAGAGTTTAGAGAGCCAAACCATGGCTGCGCTTGGAGAGGCGATTTGGACAAAAAATTGTCGGTCCGTCTTTTTTGCCTTTGGCACCGACCGGTGTAACTTAGGTGCTGCCAGGCACCGTGGCAAGGACGGCCAGAGTTTTTCGAGTCTCGACTTTCGCTGTGTGGACGTTTGCTTGGGTGTACGAAGGCCTGAGATCTCCAAGTGGACCGTTCACCCAGCCGCAGTGACACTGGCGCCGGGGGATGATGCAGTCAGGCAGCTGCCCACAGCCCGGAGGCACGTGACAGGGTGAAACTGCGATGACTGCAGGCGGCCAGTCGGCGCTTCCAGTTTTACAAACCTGAAAACTGGCTGTCTTTGCCTCAGCATGTTTCATTAATCTGCTGTGTAGCGTCTCCAGTAGGAAGATCTCACCCTGCCTGGAAACCTAGTGGCGATTGCGGTGCCGCTGGCCGCAGCTGCTGTGCGGAAAAGGTCTTCAAACGGAGAGAACATTCGGGGATTCACGTGATTGAGCATGTCAATGTGGAGGCCCCAAGGACGCAAAGCGCGACCCATGCTGGCCATGACCAAGACCTCGGTAAGCAACGACACTGTCAAAGGTGCAGCGAAAGCAGCAGCCTCGGAGTGTTGAAGCTGTGGAGCACGAGGAGCATGATTCCATGATGCCCTTTGTCAGGTCTGCGCCGAATGTGGCTACGTTTTCGTGGAGGACGACGCGTTGTTCTGCCGCTCTTCGAGACTTATCTCAGTCAGAGTCGGCAGACGAAAGACCAATGCCAAGGCCCAAAGTGTGGGACACCTCGAACCGGAACTCTGGGGGTGGGTTCCAAGAAGGCCGGTGCTGTGAGCTGCCCAGCGGCACCTGCTAGCTCTCTTCTACGAGGCCGCACCCAAGGCCGAGGAGCCCAAGAAAGGCTATTTCCCACCGCAGCCCACACCACTGCAGCTTGCCTTTCCTGGCCTGTCTTGCGTTTTTTGCTTCTCTGGGATCTTCTCGAGTTCTGAGGCTGGACTCTCTTGGAGACGAGGGCACCCAGCGGCCAGCCTCCCAGCCCCCAGCTCGTGCAGCCAAAGAAGACATCCTGTGGAAGTGGAGGATCCGGAGCATGAGCGTTCCGGAGCTCAAGCAGCTTGCCGACGAAGTTCGGTGGCAGGCTCCGTCTCACGCCACGCCTTCCTGGTGCTCACTTGTGCTCAATTGTGCTTCGGAGCCAAAGCGGCGACAGGTGCTGGATGCCGTCTCGGTCACAGGAGGACATCTCGGCAGCTGGCCTCAGTTGCAGTTCGGACACGTTCCGACTCGGTCCTTTCCGGAGGGTGGAGGACTAAGTCCCTGAGGTGCCGGCCTGGGCGTGGTTGAGCTGACGGTAGCCCTTCACCACGTTTTTGACACGCCACGCGACGAAATCTGCCAGTTGCCCAGAAGATGGGGCAGCTCGTACCGTGTGGCAAGGGGAGCGTTGTGATCGCCCAGGCTGGGATGTCGCACACCAATGCCAACCTCACAAAGCGCCTCTCTCGGACCTTCGGCTTGGCGGCATGTCTGGTGCAGCGGAGCCATATGGCCTCCAAGAGCCTAGCGGCCCTAGCATGCCCTAGCGGACCTAGTGGGCTAGGGGTGTGCCAGAAAACAATAAGATCTGCGAGCTTAGTCCGCCCGAACTCTGATGAAGTCTCACGGTCGCTGGCTTCAGCTCCGAGCTGCAAGCGTGGCATACAATAGCGAGTCTTTGAAGCTTTGCTGCAGTGTCTGAGATGATGGGGTCCGGACCGGCCCGTGATGCATCCATGCCTTCATGACATTCGTGATCAATCCGCAGTCCATGATAAAAAAAGCAGAGGGCGGGCATTGGCGGCATCAAGTTCTGTTCAACTGCTACACTGTGTTGGAGCGTGCATGCCAATCTGTCACACGAAAGCAGCTGACTAAGGTGTTGACAGGGCGGCGATCGCGCATCTACACTCTGCGTCAAGCGCTCACTGTAACTGTGAGAGACGAGGGCTCTGCGAAAAAGATTCATGCCATGAGGCCAGGGGGGTGGCCTGTCGGGCTTCGCCAAGAGGAAAGAGTCTGGAGCCCGGCTTCGTCACAGCAGACAGGGATTTCGGGAACACGGGAACTGACTTCACTGGCCCGGCCAGGTCCATCTACGATGCTTTTGGTGCCGGCCATTCGTCCACATCCATCAGCATGGGGCTGAACGCCTTGGATTCTCGCCAGTGCAGAGAGTGGACCGCGTTCTGCTGCTTCCCTCAGGTGCCGCGGTCGGCTTTCAAACTGCAAAAGATCGGCTGGGTAGGCGGGTCATTCCCAGCTGCGAGCATCTGCGACCCTTCACGAACGCTGGAACCTCCCCTGTCAAGGTCTGGCCACAGCATTGCTGTAATCGGAGATGGAGCCATCACCGGTGGCATGGCTTGGGAGGCCATGAACCATGCCAGAGCCTCGTTGGATACGACTGTAGCCGCCCGTGGCAAGAGTCCGCAGCGGCGGCAAGTCCGATCATCTGAGGCGGGTGGCATGGGCTCCAAGATGGCAGTTGGCTCAAATGTGATGAGGTGAAGTAAATGCATGTCTGGAGCCTCGTTTAGGTTGTGATCCTGAACGACAATGGACAGGTGTCTCTGCCGGAACCCTGGCTCGTTTCGGGCGTCAGCAACGTAAGCCGCTTCTCAGCACTTTGCAGGCCGACGTTCTACAACAAGGCCTCCGACTTCCCTTCCGCCATGGTGATTTCGCTTCGAGCAGAGCTGCAGGTCAAGCAGCCTGTGGGGGCGCTCTCCGAAACATTGGCCGGCACGCAAGGCCTCACAACCGGGGAACAGCTCGAAGAGAAGGATTTACCAGAAATCTGGCATCACAGAGCTTCACACATTTGCTCGGAGGCCTGTCCATTCAGGGCGACATCGCGAAGTTCGAGACTTCCTCGGCTTTCCAGAACGCGAGACAGCCCCTGCCTTGGTAGCAGCAACATGTGGTCCCCCCTCCCCCCACCACACCCCCTTCATGACATTGCCGAATTCAGGTTTGCCAAGAACGCAACGAAGCAGCTTCTCCCAGGGCAGCTTTCTGCTGCCGCCGCGAAGCTTGACGAGTGCCCTTCTGTTCAGACGGATGTTCGGCATAGCAGCTTCTTATGGCTGATAGCCTGGTCATAACAGCACGATGCTAGGAACATATGGAATGACGCCAACAGCTCACTTGCTGGTTTAGTTGAAGGTCCCCTCCTCGTGTCACTGTCTTGTCACAAGTTGGAGAAAAGCAGATGTTTTGATCCCTGGGTGCTGAAGGCAAGTTGCGAGGCATGATGCTTGAAGGGTCTTCAAAGGTGTGAAGGTTGCTTCAGAAGAGGCCCCAGGACGACGGGCAAGGGTTGAGATAGTGATAACGAACATGAAGCACAAGTGGCCAAAGCAGCCTCTGACAGCGCAACTCCACACAACACACAACACGTGGGGATTCCAGCTGCGATGCAACACTGCGAATAGAACGTGTGGGCCTGTGAGCATGTGGTGTCCGGAAGTGCAGAAACAATCCTTCTCTGTCCTTGAATTTTTGCTCCTGCACAGTCGTTGATGCCGCAGGTACACACGCGATTTTGTCAAGACTGTACCCTTCCGCGGAAGTGGTTCGGGAAGTCCGTGCCCCGTCGTCCTTTCGTCTGGAAACTCTGTCAGGCACTTTAGCAATGCATTTCTGGCCCTTGAGGTAAGGGAGAGCTTTTTGAACAGCTTGGGTTCTACTATGTCGGGAACTGAGTCAGCGTTCGCCGGGCGGGGATGGTTCCTTCTCTCTGGCTTGAGGTGGGGCCTATTGACGGGCACGACATGGACACACTGGTGGAGGCTTCTGCCCAGCATCTCATAAGAGTTACCCCTTTTCTGGGCCCGCCCGGGGATGCTCCGGGCAGGTTCTCACGAACATTCGCAAAGACCACGAAGATGGCACCTTGCAGAAGCCTGTGTTCCTCCACATCAAGACTGCTGGCTGCTTGCGCTGGCTTCTTTTGGGTCCGGAGCGAAGCCTACATGTCGCGAGGACGAAAAAGGGCAATGGTTATGAGCCAGCCCAGAAGGCATCTTCCCAGTGACAAACCTCGGGATCACGAAAGCTGACTGAACGCGTGTAGGCCAGCGACAAGCTGCATGCGGTTCAGCCGAAGTTCAACGTGGCCCAGCGTCAAGATCAGCTTGGCATCGAGTGTATTCAGTTTACTCGTCGCGTTCTTGAGGTGCCAAAAGGTGCCAGTGATAAGCCTCCGGCGCAAGTCACCCAGATCATTCACACAGTGCCACAACGTCGGAACGTGTCGGACTCGTCCCCCGAAGGCCGAAGCCTCCGCCGTTCACGAAGATTTTCGGGGATGCTCTGGTGCGGGAGGGCGAGCTTGGATCTCAAAAAGACGGTCCCGTCGTCTCGCCCTCCTGAAGATATGAAACCCGGACCCAGCCGCTGGCGAGGCGCGACGACAAGGTCGTGGCGATTACAGCCGCGATGCCACGCTCTTGAGACATATCCAAAGTGAAGTTTCTCGCGGGGCTCTTGGCTTTGTCCAGGCCCGGCGGGACGGGCATCGGTATCTTCGAGAAGAGGTTTGGCCCAGCCGCGAACCTCAGAGCAGAAGTTGCCCAGGGTGTTTTGGTCTCCCTTCGTCTCCCTCCTCTCGAGCTCCCTCACAGGAGCGAACCTTCGATGTGGGCATCGCCGAGCAGCATGTCCCGGCCTCAGCCAGGAGGGCTCCAGGCATGACACGGGATTTAGTGTTCCCGCCTCGCCGCCACCCAGTTCCGGAGGCGACCACACAATGACAAAGGATCGGAGGGGAACGCTCCCGAATGCCTTGCTCATGACTAGGATGCATAAAAAGGCAGACCAAATTATAATTCAACATTCCAGTCGCAGCGACCACGAACAAGAGACTTCCTGCATGTCGATTGGATGGACCCACAGGACGGTCCACATGTGATGGCTTGGGACGGAGGACAGGACACAACCTCATGGTTGCGGCATCTCCACCACAGGAGCACAGCAGAGCCACAGCAACCGTGGCCCCCAGCAAGGCTGTGCCCGCTGAGAATCGATCCCAGACACAGGGCGGTTCAACGAAGGCATGATGCGTGCGATCGAATCCACCGGAATCGCTTGCATGTAGCTGAATGACTTGAGCTCCATGATCCATGCGTCGCCAAATAGATCCGTCGTGACGTCTGGCCAAAACTTGTGCAGGCAGAGCTCCTGCGATCTAGCAGGCAGTGCTGTTTGAGGATTGCCAGGCATCAAGGTGACTCCCACAATCCGTGGCACTTCGGGGCAAACAAATCTCTCCGAATTCCTGCCGAATCGTTGGCTGAGAAGAAGAGGTGATGCAGCATGAGCAATGGGGTCCCTTGCGCATGTCCATTAGACGTATTTCTTGGGATTAATCACGCGGACAGAAGTACTGCGACTGAGTTAGCATGACATGAGGCGGTGACCTTTGCGGCCGGGATGGCAGCAGGTGGTAGGTGGCCTCAGGCGGCGACAGTTTCGCGAGCAAAGGGCCACAGTGGAGCCTGATAATTCGTCAAGGGTGTGCAGGTTCACGTCCAGCCGAGGCCTGAAGCCGTTCTGTGCCATCTACTCCACGCCGTGCCGGCACGTTCAGTGCTGCCCTGTTTCGGCTTTCAGGAAACTGCCGAGCCGTGCATCTGAACTCAACTTCCTCTCATTGCAGGTTCCTGCAGCGAGGCTATGACCAGCTGGTTCATGCCTGCAGCTCGGAGACATGGGGTGTACCAAACCGGTTAGGCAACAACATCCCTCTGGAAGCCGCCTGGAATCGAAGACCTGCCAGGATGTGGCGCTTCAGAAACTGCCGGTTCGATTCATCTTGGATCGAGCTGGCCTCGTAGGGGCAGTCGTCACCTCAGCTTCAATCCAGACCCCCCCAAATTATCATTTTCAACCGCCATATGACCATGTGTGGTTCCAGGATGGAGCCACCCACAGTGGCTGCTTCGATCTTTCCTACATGGGCTCGGGGCTGACTTTGCACCTACTCGTAACTCGAACCCAAGGCTTCTTACCATTAGCAGATGATGCCAGCAAGGCTGCATTCCCGACATGATGATTTGCGCGTCTGCTGATGAGGTGGCTCCGACATGCTCTGGACGTTTCCATAGCATGTCGTTCCTCTACTGTGTGCACTATAGGCAGAGCTGGTCAACATGATCCACACTCTGGCGAAAATCGATGATCAGCCGACAGCACTGCGGTCGGAATCCTTCCTGCTTTCTCATGTCTCGTCGTTACTTACGCATGCAGCATGCATGTACTACACAGCGAGGTTTCCCCGTGGCAGCTGCTATGGCGACCTGGTCATGCCAGCAGAGCCTCGCTTCCTGGAGCCTGGAAGAGGGTGGGGGCCTCGCTGAGCGTCCCAGCAGAGTGTCGCAGCAGAGCGTCGCAGGTTTTCGCATGTTTCTCTTTCCTGCCGGGGCCCTGAGGCGCATCTGTCGTGAGGGTCGTGATGGCAAGCTGGCCATCCTTTCCATCGGCGGGCGGTTGCGCGAGTGCCTGAAGGCTTGCTCTGCTCTGCTTTGCAAGTTGCACCGTGTTGCATCTACGCTCGAGAGGCTGCCGATGAGCTTGAGGAAAAGTACGGCGTGTCTGTGACCGTCGCAGATGCTCGCTCGGAGCCCCGGCTTGCGGACATGCGAGAGCTGCGAGAGGATGGATCTGCAATTTTCCGGAAGTGACCCCTTGGGGAGGTTGGATGAAGCCGCTGGACACGAATCTCGTCGGCCGTTTGGCCGAGGATCATCGTGCCCTAATCACCATCGAGGACGCCACAAGACCACACCATGCTATCGGAAGTCAGGGTGGTCCAGCTCGGTATTGCTTGCTGCGCTTCTTGTAGGAGAACGCGATCGGAGGCTTCTCTGCGCAAGTCCAGCAGGTGTGGCAGCTGAAAGTGAAAGATCAGCATTGCTTCTTGCGCATGACAGAAGTGCCACAGGAGTACTGTAGTATTGTCATAGCACTACCAAAGTGTTATTCTACGACGGTGATAATGCTACTAACAGTTACTAACATGACTAATGACTGATAGTAATGACTGTGGTACTGCCACAGAGTCAGACTTTACGATTCCATGTCGTCTGTGACCCCGGGAGGCTCTCCTGGAAGGCGGGTACTTGGATGGCCTGGGTAAGACGCCGGTGGCACTTCGAAGCATGGTTTTGCCGGCCCGGTCCTCGGAGTTCAAGAGCAAAGCACGACCTGACGACCGTGTGATGTATAGGGGTTATTGCCAGGGTTAGTTTTGGGCTTTGAGGGTTAACCTCGTCCTCCCACTTCTAAAGGGCACCCTACGAGAACATAGTCTTTTCCTGCCCCCGAAGGTGAGTTGAAAAGCGCCAAGACTCCGCACAATTAGGCTAAGGGTCAAGGGTTAGGCACTATCCCAGTGCAAGAGCCGGGTTCTGTTGGGACTGCAAGAGCTGCAGCCAGCAGGGGCCGCAGGAAAAAAAAGACTGCACTGCCCGGGAACTGAAGGCTGGAGAACATAGGACTTAGGAGTCGACGGCCTTTCAAAGGAAGGGTTTTCAACAAAGCGCTGAGCAATCTTAGAACAGCCAAAGTGGTGCCCCCTAACATCGAAGATAACTTACATGCAACACAATGTATTTTGGGCTCGGGACGGCCTTTAAGGCTCATCGGCTTTGTTTGCAGGACAGGTGGATTGACCACAACGATCCCCAGCTTCAGTACGTACCGGCCTCGCATGCTCGATTATTACAAGAGTTTCATTTCCTCGCATCTGCACAATGCTCCAAGGATGATGCGAAGCTTAATGCGCAGCACATACTCCAGAAGGCGTCATCTTGTCCGTTGTTCTCTTTGACAAAACGGCAGATCGCGGCAGAGCCAGGCCCTGGCGCTTTTAAGCCGCGTGGGTGTCAAGGCCGCTGCCCGATCTTCCCCGCCGGTGTTCTTCTTGTGGGTGTTGAATGTGGATACTGTTTGGATACTGGGCAGGTGGATGCAAAGCTTGCAGGCTGATGAAGCGACTACCAGGGCACCCCGCGCCGTCAATTTTCACCTGAAAGTTGCACGATATTTAATTTGCAATCTGCTCCGCCAGCAGATCACCGTCTCATCCGCAAACATCGCGTTTTTCCGGAGCCTCGTGGCACACATGGCACATCCTTGAAGCTGTCCGGCTTCAGAAGTCTTGAGTTTGGTAGGAGGGCGATTAGTCTTGTGGCTTCTGCAGCAAAGCTGCTCCCCGAGTCGAAACTCGGCTCACTGTCGTGGCAAACATGCCCGACCCATCCCATGTTTTCAGTCTCAAAATTTTACAATGCAGAGCATACCAGTTACCTGCGCACATAGCTTTTTTTATTCGTGAATCGTTGCTGGAGCTGTTGATGCTTATGCCCATGCTAGTTACAGACGTGCAAGGAAAAGTGCGACAATCTGCAGTGCGAAGGGGTGCGCAGTTGGAGAGCGCAGAGAAGGGGCAGGCCCTTGAGGCCCAAGGACTTGCACTTGAGGGTAAATTTGGGACAAGAAGAAGAGGAGGACGCAGGGAGATTTGGAGGGAGGTTTTGCATAGGAAATGAGAGGACCCGTAAACTACGAGAAGGCAAAAGAAGCTTTTGTGGGAAGAGCTCTCAGGGTTTGTGTAGCTGCAGCAATGCAGAACAGACAAAGAATCACTCATGCAGCACATGAAGTAACAGAACACTTGTAGCATCCGAAAATGGAAAGGCTGGCTCCCTTCTCTAAGCATTTGATAATCTAACCGAAGGGACAGAGCGGGTCCGGCCCAACAGAGGGAGAACTGCGACGAGAAGACAAGCAGGAGATTCGGATGCAGCAGATTTTGTCCGTGCCACGGCTACTCACGTATGCCTTGAATTCCGGAGCTCGGAGCAGTATTCGCAGGGAATCGAGTATATCTTGATCGCAATGCGGATTTCTTTGGCAACTGGCTTATGGACGATCGCAGCCGCTGATTTCACAGAAGAGCCAAAGAGGATATTGTTTGGAAGGTCGGCCAGGCAGGATGAGTCTGGTGGAAGTAGGGTCTGCTGATCGGAAGTTGGGATCTTTCGTTGGAGGCCATGCTCGCCTTTCTGGGCAGCTCGCCGGCCAGTGCACCCACTGCGAGGCTACTGCAGAGTCGGTAGCAATCGTGAAGAGATGAGACGAGTGTCTGAGTGATTGTATCGTTGGCGAGTGTCCGTGCTTCAGGGATTCACACACAGAGCCAACAAAGTGATGCATGGCTTGGTGTCAGGGACCTTGCATCTGGCTAAACAGAGGTCCCCGCACTCTGTGGGAGGTTTCGGGTAGCAGATGCACTTTCAGGTTTCATGCGAAGTCAAGCCGGACCAGCCGGTGTAACCGGTGCCAGCCGTACCAGAATCGAAAAATCGAGGAACGTCGTGATGTCTGCACGAGGGCCTGTTTCGGACATGGTCCTACATGACATTACATGACAGACTCGTTCTCGTATGCCGTTTTCGATGTGAAGAATCCTTGACAGGATTCCACAGCAGTAGATCTCTTTTGCAGTGATGATACCATAGGGGTGCCTGATACAGGTCCCATATTTCCGAATTGCCGTTCCTGATCTCAGCTCGATCATCACCCCCCAACCTTGATAATGTCCGCGACTGCGGCACACCGATTCAGCGGCTCATTCCAGATCTGGACGCAAAAATCATGTAAGCTTCCGGGGCGGCCACACTCAACTCTGCACAGAGAGGGAGGATCTAGCGATGAATGTTGGGTGGCTCGCTCGTCTGCAACGCCCTGTAAGCTAACATCAGCAAGAATCAGACCCCGGCCAGTCGCTCTCCTTCATGTCAATTTCCAAGCCCCCGTGTCGCCGTGTCTGCCTTGTCGCAAGTTGCGATGTGTCCGAAAGTCTTGTGTGTTGCCGGTCGGTCAAGTGAGAGTATCCGAGCCTGTACCTCCCTCTAGCTCTCTGTTGTCAATCTTCAATAGCGCGTCATGTGTCGTTTCAATCCCTTGTGCCCGCTTGTGGCTCCAAACGTCAAGCGGCTCGGACACGTGGACATTGCTCACCTCTTTCGTTACGTTTACTCTGTTGAGACCTGCGTCTGGCCGTATTAAACTACTGAAGCTACATGCAGCAGAGTTGGCGGTCCATTGAGATGGAATTGTTGTACTCAAATGGGCACACATGCACACCCATCCAGCCATCCATCGATCGATCCATCCATCCATCCATCGATCCATTCATCCATCCATCCATCCATCCATCCATCCATCCATCCATCCATGCATAGATACATACATACATACATACATACATTCCAGAGACTGACAGACACAGACAGACACAGACAGACACAGACAGACACGGGCAGACACAGAGACAGACAGGCAGGCAGACAGGCAGACAGACAGCCAGACAGCCAGACAGCCAGGCAGGCAGGCAGGCAGGCAGACAGACAGACAGACACGTTCATACAATAACGCATGCATACAATCATACTTCATGATACATACGTACGTACATACATACATGCATACATACATACCTACGTACGTTACGATACGTTACGTTACATTACATTACATTACCCACGTGCTCATGCATGCATGCACTTGCCTATCGGCTAGAGCAGAAGCGTTTCAACATGCCTGATCAGCCCCTGAGCCCTCGACCTGCCTGAAAGCCCACAGCCTTACCAGGACCCCGTGAACCCCCCACCCAAGTGCCCATCAATAGAATCCTTATAATTTCATGGGGGGTTCTTGTGGATGGCCTTTAATAGGGGGCCTTTAGGGTAGACGGGTAGAAGAGAGGGTAGTTAGGGTGAATAGAGTCCTTATGGTCCTTAATCTTCGTTGCTGAGTTCATAAGCCCAAAAAACTGCACACTTTCAATTATGGTAGGAGATGATGTTATCAATGTTATCACCCAAAAAGTGTAAAGTCTTTCCACTCGGCTAAAAGGTAATAGGGGGTCTTTAGGTCATGTAGGAACCTGATTAAGAAACCTTGGGTCTTCATTAGGGTTCCGAATATGAACCCTTATATTTTGGGGTTCTAGGACCACGGTTTCTTAAGCAGGTTCCTACATTAGCCTAAAGTCTTAGTTGGGGGGTCTAGGTATACCCCCAAAACCTGACAGCCCCTTTTCACAAAACCGAAGACCTCAAATCTAAAACCCCCGTACACAAAACCCCACATACCTAAAATCCCGAAACCCTATACACAAAAAACTATGCCCTAAACCCTAAACCTAAACCCCAAAATCCCAAAGCCCGAACAGCCCAAATCCCAAGCCCGAAAGGAACCATCCTCCAGACTTCCGCTGATGCGGTCCGTCCAAATCTCGGCGTCCTCTTCCTGAGCTTGTCGTTGGGGTTTAGGGTTTAGGGTTTAGGGTTTTAGGGTTTAGGGTTTTAGGTTTGGGGTCACAAGCCTTAGAGTATGGAGATAAGGGATATAGGTTCAGGGATTGGGGTTTCGGAATTGGGGCTGGGCGTGTAATATAGGAGCCTAAATAATTGCCTGTACTGTTCTGGGGGTTCCTTACACTAGACATAGAAAAGAGGGCCCCAAAACCGTATTCTCCGTATTCAGGCCCCTATATCAGGTTTGGCTGCGGGTTAGGACTTCGGCTATACTCGAAACTCGAGTGGCAAAGCTACATGGGACCTGGGAGCGGCAAGATGACCGAGCCTTAACCCCTGAACCCCAAAGCCCCTAAACCCCTAACCCCTAAACCCTATATAAGCCCCTAAACCCTAAACCCAAAGCCCCTAAACCCCTAACCCCTAAACCCTATATAAGCCCCCAAAACCCTAAACCCTATAAGCCCAAAAACCCCAAATCCCAAAACCCTACGGTTAGCATTGCAGCCACGAACGTAGGGCAGGCCAAAAGCCCATCTCCGATTCGAACTCTAGGCCTGAACATCGAGATCTACGTTTAGGGTCTAGGCGTTCAGGGTCTAGGGGTTTAGGGTCTAGGGGTTTAGGGTCTAGGGTCTAGGGGCTTAGGGTCCTGGGGTTTGGGGTTTAGGGTTAAAAATTGGTAGCAGTATTAGTGTGAGCATTTCGTCTTGGTTTTCAAAAAATTTTAGGGTTTGGATTATAAGGTCTAGGGGTTTCGGGTCTCATGCTGCCCGTTGCAGCCTTCCAGTGTCGTTCTAACTACCACACACCCTTGAAACACCAAGATGCGACTTGGGATTAGGGTTTAGGGTTCAGTGGCGGGTTTGGGGAAGTAGTGTTTATGCTTGAGGGTATCGGGATTTGGGTCGCATTCTGGCTTGATGCAAGTACTCCAAAAAAGAAGACATCTCCTTCGAGCTCACATTCCCGGCATGCACATGCTTGCCAAGGTTATCCTGCCGATTCTACTGAACATGCTCTACACATACCACCTCACTGGCGTTACCCCAAGCACTTGTGCAAAACCTTCATGGGCGAGGGAAATGAGCATAGCACTTCCTCGCAAGCCAAGGTCCCAGGGGCCCAGTTACCCAAACTTAGACCTTGGGTTATGCCCGAACTTAGACCTTGGATTGCAATACCCTAGTCATATCGGCTTTAAGATGGCTCTAGTCTAGGGCCGAAAGGCTGATAATTCATACTAAAACGGCATGAAGCTGAACATGGAACAAAGAGGCAGGACAGGTGTGTCTCGTAGTTCCCGAGTATGCATGATGTGGTTCCCTGTCGTGGTCCCTTTTGAGGAACTTCTGGAAACATGCTTGGCTCACTTATCGGGTTTCGCGCTCAGGTCTTCGGGCACACGCATGCGAGATGGTTTTACGCGCACGAGCATTCTGCAGGTGTGTGCATGTGTATGTGCGAGTACGCCTGCATCTGGTACGAAACATTATAAATCTATGTAGTCTAATCCATCCCTACACAGGGACAGGGTGGCAGACCCCTAGAGGGCCTCTAATGCGATGCGAAGATTTGTTGTGCCAAGCGTTCTAGCATATTATCACCTGGGGCAAACTAAGGTTAAAGAGCTCAGCCATAAATCTGAATCTGAAGTCTTGC